GGTTTACGAACACGGCTGCTCACTCAGCCCTAAAGAGGTCGGCTGAACATCTACTATGGAAGGCGATGACCTAATTGGTGCTGCATATATGTAAGTGACGTGCAAATAAGGTGGACACCTATAAAAAAACAAGACATAACATTTGCTAGTGGAGGTAAAGAGAAATATTGTGTAGTATATTTTTTCGTAGGGGTAGAATTGGAGCATGGGATAGTGGCGTCTTCTATGTCTTTTATTAAGTGTCAACCACTGGCACGCGTACGCTCGCGTCTACGCGTCAAAAGCGTCAAATGCGCCTCTCGGCGTCGACTTTGGAGAGGCATACGCGAGCAGGCGCGAGGGATCAAGCCGGGCTTGATATTTCGCCTCGCGTACGCTATGTCACCACGCGTACAGCGGCGCCAACCAACCAGAGGCCGCGATGACTCCGAATGCTGTGCCTAATGGCCGCCGCTTCGAAGGCACAGCCGAGTGCTGAAAGCAACCATGAAAACTACTCCAAACGTTCCTGAATGACCGCTTCGTAATCTAGAACGACAACGAAACGACGAACGACTGCGAGTGCTACCAGCGTGACGTGGTTTCGTGCCGAGTTCGAGCGACGCCGACAAATCCAGCGAATGCCGGCCGGCTATGCTAGCGCCGGTCCCGTGTGCGATCGTCGGCCGAACGAAAGGAGCATGTCGGTGTTCTTGTGCTTTGATCTGTGACTTTCTGTGCTAAAAACGAGTGTAAACAGACTTCGGAGGTTCGAAGGTTTGAGCGTGAGCCCTCGCTTACCGCGGAGGCAATTCAGATCGGTGTCAACTGCATCCAGCGCAGGCCTCTACCATCTAGTTCGTATGAACCAGCACATGCGAGGCACATCGGCTGAAAAAACTCCACGGTAGTTTCCGTCACAACATAGACGCCATATACGACGCCCGAAATATCGCGTAGTTCATACGGAGGAGTTTTTACCTGCACTGTGTTTGTTTTCAACATCGGTATTCATCATCGCTGAAAGCGAACCTCGCACTAGCCAACACATTTCCGTGATGTGAAAACGTACGTACTTATATAAGTGTATTCGCGAATTGTATGACGCGGAAAGATTCGTTGGCTTCGGTGCGAATCGTTTTCGTGTGTTGCCAAGCTAATAACAAGCTTGCGCTGGTTGGTAGCAGTGAGATGTGACTTCGTGTCGGGTACCAGCGACGCTGACACATTGAGCTGTCAGCGGTCTCATTTACATTCACGTACAAGACATAAACTCGAGCGTGCGTTGCTGTGGTGATCGAAAAAGAACGTTGTATGATTAAGTGCTGCTGGTATTGCCTGCTATTTCACTTCTCGCTTCTTCTGCTTCCCTGCCACGCTCAGTAGCACATACGTTGTTTGGAGGTATTCTAACACACACATTCTTAATTTATAGTTCATTCTGATACTCATAGCTATAGGCATACAATGACGCTTCTCCGTCGTTTTACAGTTTACTATAACATAACGCGCGTTCTGTTTACAGCAGGTCAGATAACTGAAAATCTTGTGAGAAGCACCTGATTTGAAATCAGCTGCACGATGACACGACTGTTGGAAGAGAAGATCACCACATGTATGCACAGAATGAATGAAGGTGCACTAGTATGGTACTGCACTTTGTATAGGAGAAATGCAAAAAGTAACTCATGTGACCTATGAGACCTTTCAGAGCTGTGCATGTATTTATGTGTTCCTCCAGACTGTAATGAGCTGAAGATATTCGATGGTTTCGAACATTGAATATTTGTATGTGTTTCCAAGGAGTCCTTCATTTCTGTTCAGTTTTTTAGTATATGCATTAACTTGGATTATATATACGCATGCTCTTAAGCATATTCAGTTTAGTTCTGTTGGAAAACATGCCAAAACTTCTGTACGGTGCTCTAGTGCACCGTACAGAAGTACGGTGCAAGATACCGATGAAACAGAATGTTTGATCGGTATCTGTCCTATCAAAAATTTTTGGCATGCTTTATTGCATTATAGGGTATTTTGACAATTGATGACATGTGAAAGCCACAGTGCTTGGCTGTAATCTCAAAACCAATGTCTGTCTCATCAAGAAGTGTCAGATGCATTTTGTAGATGTTAAAGGATATATAAACTACCAGTAAAGTGCTGAAGTCTTCAACACAGCTCTCATCCGCAATCACCACCCAGCTTAGAAGTCATTTGTAGAGCTCTCTAAGACGTTCAAATAAAGTTATCAAACACTGGACTTATCTACTTGGTTTGATTCCCAATACCAGTGTGTCTGACTTTTTGGAGGCACTTGTATTATAATAATGTACTATTTCTCTCATTTATTACAGGGGTCCACTCAAGGGTAGTGATATTTGTTTACTTGGCACACTTAATTTGATATTACTGTTTAAATCCTTTCATTTTGTATATATGTACGCCACTTTTGCAGTAGTCTCACACTGAGCAGCCGTATTTGAAAATAAATAAATATACCATCCGAAATTGTTCCACGCTGTGCTCGGTTCCAATCTGGTCACTAGTATCTGTTGCATCACGATGTGTCGGGTGTGTTTTATTGCATGGGAGAACACTTTGGCTGACTTCCATGAAGGGTTCATTTCCAGTATTATGACCGATATCTGTGACTTCATGAAGAGTTAGGCGCGGTTTGTCGTTTTAGAGAATACTTTAACTACATACAACGTCCAGAAGTCTTCCATACAGGGTTCAGTTGCAATATTATGACCGATATCTGTGACTCCATGAACAGTTGGGTGTCGTTTGTCGTTTTAGAGAATACTTTGAATAAAGAAAACGTCCAGAAGTCTTCCATACAGGGTTCAGTTCTGATATTATGGCCGATATCTGTGACTTCATAAACAGTTGAGTGTTGTTTGTCGTTTTAGAAAATACTTTGACTAAAGACAACGTCCAGAAGTCTTCCATACAGGGTTCAGTTCCAATATTACGACCGATATCTGTCACATCATGAAGTGTCAGGCACAGTTAGTTGCATTAGAGCACATTTCGGCTATGGAAAATGCCCGAAGGCATTCTATGCAGTATCTGGTTCCTATCTTATGGCCAATATCAGTTGTATCAATAAGAACCAGGTGTGCTTTGTTGCATTAGAGGATATTTCGAACACACACATCAGCCGAAAGCCTGCTACTCTGGCCTCAATTGTAGTCTTATGACTGACTTAAATCTGTCAGATCATGAAGTTGCAGGCGTCATTATTAAGTTGACTGATATAAAATATATTGTGTAAATATACTGAAGGTACCAGCATATGCAAGATATTGTCAGTAACTTTGGTAGTGCAGGTATAGAAACCCGATGGTTTGTAAACCTGATCAGGAGGGCAGCCACGCCTTATTCACCGCAGAGAGGAGGTGGGGAGAGAGCTCAATGTCAACTCCATATATTAACACTATAGGGAGGGGGTGCTAAGTCAGCCCTGGGGAGGGGCACTAGGACAAACTTTTGCCCCCCCCCCCCCCCCCCCATCCTTAAGGAGAACCCTGCACACGCCTATGATAGACGTACAGTATGCTAGACGCGAATGTTCATTCGCGGGAGCGGCGCACGCAGCGATGTTGATTTCTGGTGCATACCGCTGTAGTTACTTTGGGCACTGAAACGTCAATTACTTCTAAAATAGTCTAAAGTGTGGTGGTTGAAGCACTATCAACTTGTTAACGCGTTCTCATATCCTCTAAAACATACATTCCCGCTCCAGTTGAGAACGTGCCGTTCTGTGCTGAACTTGGACAGTTCTAAGCCAAAAGATCAAGCAACATTGTGCATCGGCCTTGGACGCGTGGGCGTCAACGCGGTCGACGCGTGCCAGTAGTTGCGCGCCCTTTTCCTCCACAGGCGCGACTAGACGCTTTTGACGCGTAGGCGCGTGCATACGCGTGCCAGTGGTTGGCACTTTAGGTCAAAGAAAACTTTTTAAAGTGTATGGAAAAACGCTTTCAAGGAGGCGCTCTGCGAGTTCTTGCGTAGAGTGGTATATTTATGACGGTATTCTCTGGAGCCCATTCGGGAGTCAGAGGCCAGCTCCTGTGATTCTTCGACCATATCAAGGTAATGGTGTTTTCATGTTTGTGAAGCACTCTTGTCATGATTCCAATAACTGAAGTGCTCAGGAAATTTGAAAATAATTTTTAAAAAGCAAAAAAAATTACAAAACCGAAACCCAAGCGAGTGCCCTGTCTGCATATGACATACTATTTGGTAAGAACTGGAGGCCGTATACTGGTCCCGCTGGTGCGTAGTAGGAAAACTGTGAAAGCCAGACCAGCGAAGCGCCGGCCAAACACTACAGAAGAAGGAAGAAAGTTTTCCCGTACTATACCCGTGCCAATCAACGCCGCAGTTGCCTTGTGGCCAGCACAATAAAAGCTGTAGCGGCCGAAGTAGTGATTCCATCGGCTGCGTCACTTCCATTGACATGCCAAACATGACTTCAGACTGACAGAGTTGCCATTAATTCTGTCAAGCATGGTCAGCTTTTCAAGGCAATCTTTAAAATTCTTTTGCAAACAATCAGCGCATCTCTCAAGCCTGTAATTTGGCATAAATGCAAACAATCAGCGCATCTCTCAAACCTGTAATTTGGCATAAATGACGGAAATGTGCAAAATATCGATTAATAATATAATATAATTAAGCAATAATTCAATGAATAACTAAATGATAATAATTTAAATAATTATTTAAATAGTTATTGATTGATTGAATGATTGATTGATTGATATGTGACGTTTAAGGTCCTAAAACTACGATATGATTATGAGAGACGCCGTATTGAAGGGCTCCGGAAATGCGCAAAAGAAAGAACGTACCCAGCGAATTTTCTTCAGATCTATCGATCTCGAAAAATCGCCGGAGTTGGCCTTTAATGGTGTCTGCAGCTTGCTCGCCACTTAATCCAGCGCTCCTTGCTCTAACATTGTCCAATCCGTGCAAATGCATGTGTAACGCTTATGCACTTTGCTCTTCCGCAGACCAGTGGAAGACCGGGAACATGCAACGTCCTAGGATACTGCATGAGCAACGTGTGATGGCTCTAAACGGGAAAATAAAAGACAGCTTCTTTTTTCAGCTTTTCGATCTGTCTTCAGAAGTCTTTGTCAGTAGACAATTTTAGTTTGGTGTACGCAAGACTGTAAGTCCGCAATATGCTGCACGCTGCGTACGCCACACCTCATGCTGCCTCTGAAAGAATTAGTTCGCCGAGCGCAAAATACGAAACGAGTCCTGAACTTTAACAAGCTTGCCTTTGAGTAGAGTTCCTGTATTGTGCTTTTTACAGGAGCAGAGTTGCACATAGGTCCGCCATCTTGCCTCCCTAGTAACTATAGTTACGCGGTGAAGCCGCACTCTGTTTTGGCAGGCTACGTGCTTAAGGCGGTCACCGAATGACGAAGCCTGTCACCGCTGATCAGTTGACGTGCATCTACTATATCATGTTTTTTGAAAAGAGTGCCGAAACAACGCACATAATTCGCTGTCGAAGCTTGAGGACATGAACCTATTGGAAATAAAAGCACCAGTTGGTCGATTACAACCTACAGCGCAAACGACAATAACTTGGCAGATTACAGGTAGACGGCAACCATTGTCGATGGTGTGGCCATGATATCCGGGTACCGCCTGTGCATCAGCTTGTCCCCAGTGCATGGTTGCTAGCGGCGTTCGGAAAATATATGCGCAACTCTGCTCTGCTACACAAAGGTAGCATATACAATATACAGTAACTACAGCTTTGAGCCTTTCTTTCTGCCATCTCGCGGCGAAGCAATAAGCTGTTTTAACCCATGTTGGTCGACGCAATACGGAAGTTGAAGCGTAAGACAAGTCGAGCTTTTCCCATGACAAGTAGTGGTTTGAGGTGTTGGGACTAGGTGAACTAGCGGTACGAGAGGCATAGAGACGACAAAAACGAGCGCTTATGAGAATTTGTTATTTATTGTTTGCGGCAGACATACTGCAAGATGAAAAGAAAAAAGAACTGAACAGGTAATTGCTAAATGCTAAATAGAAAAAAATACCCTCCATCACACCGGCGTCGTCACGTGCCATTAAAGGTGCTTTCACATTATGAGGGCGCCTTGTCTGTTATCAGTGTGCGAGAAAAACTGCCTTAGGTTAGTGGATCATGGAGGTTCAGAAATGTGTCAGTGCATGGCTAGAACTATCCTTTTACTTTCCAAGATTTGGCATGATTTTCAAGGTGGCCCGACTGTGGTGGTCTATAGTGGATAAGGTACTCGACTGCTGGCCCGCAGGTTGCGGGTTCAAATCCCGGCTGCATTCTCGGTGGAGGTGAAAATGCTGTAGGCCCATGTGCTCAGATTTGGGTGCACGTTAAAGAACCCGGGATGGTCGAAATTTGCTGAACCCTCCACTACGGCGTCTCTTATAATTATATGGTAGTTTTGGCATGCTAAACTCCACATGTAATTGAGTCAATGCTTTTGTAGGTGAGGATTCAGGCATCTGCCGGTTAGACACACTTAGGTAGAAAGATAAAGGAAAGACGGGGAGGTTACCCAGAAGGAGACTCTGGTTTGCTACCCTGTGCTTGGCAAGGGTAGAAAAGTGTAGACAGCTAGCAACCACCGCAGTTCAAAGGCTCTACACACGTAGTGTAACTAAACAGCGCAAAACAACAAGGACGAAAAAGACCAAATATGGCTAGCGCTGACTGTCAATAACTGCATTTATTTTTGCAGCACAAATATATACGCATTCTGGAAAGATGCTAAAGAGGGGGAGAAGGAGCGCATGCGCACTTCCCTTGAATTGTCATATTGGCAAGTAACGCTTAACTGTGGAGATAGTGAATCTCTTTGTTTGTTATTGTAACAGATCGGGAGCTAATACATATGTGACTTGCAACTTGGGTGGCGAATGTTTCAAATATTTTGCGGGAGGAGCTATCTCGGCTTGCGTGAACATTTCATCAACATTATGCCTAAAATATTTAGCATTGTGACGATACATTGGGCTCAGTGTAGAGTGCCACAAATTTATACGAGACGTCGCACAAGAGCTGTAGTAACGCGAGGGAAATCTGCACCTCACTCAATACGAGTAGCAACACGCTGACGGTTGTTAAAATAACTACAATCCTGAACAATGACACCTAAAAAGGACGAGTTGGTTCATAAAGTACCGCTAACTCTAAAACCTTGATTAACAAAGTTTCTTAAGATAGGTCCTTATTTGCACTGTTGGCACAATTTTGAGCCAAGACAGCGTATTGCGACTCAAATGAGCCCCACTGTACGTATCAGCAGAGCACACTGAAACAGCTTTTATTTAAAATTATCCCAGTGCTAAATAATGATAGATTTACATGCGCGCACATCCACGCAGCAAAATGATAACGAAAAAAACAAAAGAAAAAATGCAGACCACTAGCAACACGTAGTGTAAGACAGAATCCCTTTCTCTTTAGGGTAGTGCCGTCAAATTTCGAGTCTAGCAAGCCTGTTGTAGGTTTTCTCTCTGTACACGCAGAGACACTCCATACGAAGGCAGGGACACAGTCTTAATTTTTCGAAAAGTGTACCTAAATGCTTATTCTCCCGATCGAGACCCACCGTTAGCGCGTCTAACACAGGCGTAGGTGTATACACCACAACACACCGAACTCAGTGCTTGCTGCCATATTGAAAAGCACGTGGCGCCATCTGTTGTAAGCCTGGCGAAGGAACACCCTCAACTGCCACGTGAGCAGACGCTCTGCAAATCAAACGCGAAACTTCACAACCCGAATGTGGCTGTAATCATGTTTCGCGTTGTTCCTGTGCTGGAATTCGATGCTGATTTTGTGTGAAACTTCGAGGAGACCTTTCTCGACAGTCCGGAATGCCTGCAGCACGTGCATTGCAGACTGCGGAAGCAAATTCATCAGGTACGTATTATCCGACTGGAAGAAACGCGAACAGCATAACTGTGGCGTGCCTTGGCTGTGACAAGGCAGAATTTGTGCTGTAATGCAGCGTCAACGTAGTGCTAGAATGTGGCTCCAATTTACGCTCATGCACCGCATGTGTACCAATTGCCAGTCCTGTTGGGCAATCGGAACACACACGCGGTGCAAAAGTGCCAGCCAGAACAAGATTTTGAAATGCTACGGTGACGCCCACCGAAAGCACATATAGATTCACCTCGTGACAGTCAACGTGACAGTTGACAGTTGAACGAAGTCGAAAGCCATGCTTCCCGCGCCGTTCACATATCTTTTCATCGCGATAGTAGGCCATTATAGTCTTACTAAACATGCACGGCGCGTGCATAAGCGCCTGAGTCGTAATACGTATATCCTATTACTGACACGCGGCCTGCGAAAGAGTATGACAAATGTCTTGTGCCTACAGGCATACTACAGGTATACTGCCGGCAAACTGCTGACGTAAAGTAAAACAGCTGGAGTCGCGCTTGAATGAACCAATAAGTGTACTTACTTGTAATCTCACTGGGCTCGTAGTTTTTCCTGCTGATTGCGATTATATCCTAAGGCGGCGGAGCTTGGCGTTTTTCGTTGTGGACGGAAATCTGTGCGATCCCAAAACAATGCACCGGCACAACTCCCACGATGCGCTGTGAACTTTACAAGCAGTGCTCAGCAAACTCTTCCTCTTGCTCTGGTTGTTGTCGCATCAGATGATAGCGCAGTGGGGCCGAGGTGACATTTTATAAGCGGGCGCAGCGTGAACAGGCTTTTTTCGCATTTTAAACTCCCATAAGCACTGCATACCATGCTAGCGAGGTGCACCGTGGCTGTTGCACACAAATTATGGTGTCTCTGGGAGCGAGGATGTACCGCCGAAGGCGCCAGGTTGCAAGATAGGCGTGCTCTCGTCTATAGGAATGGCAGCGAAAGTTGTATGGACGTCGCACCAGGTCTGTATTGACGTAAGTGACCTCCGGACCTTCACCACTACGTCAAGATACAGTCACACTCAATATGAGTACCATCACGCTGATTGTGTTTAAAGGGACACCCATCCAGAATGAGGACACCGAAAAATGTTGAATTGGTTCAGAACGTATCTCAAACTGAGATACTTTAATTAACCCACTTGTTTTTATGTAGGCCCCAATTTGCTGTGTTGGCATTATTTTCAGCCCAGACAGTGTGTTGCGACTCATATTGAGCGTGGCTGTACATACCGGAAAACCTTCAGCTTTTACATTGCGCGCGACTGGTGCTGCTAGTCATGGCAACTATCTGCGCATTTGTTCTTCTGGTGCATGTGTGGCACTTGTGTGTGAGATCAGGCGACACTGATCACGGCGTGGGCCACAGCTATGTGTGGTGACGTGACCAAGCCACCAACACTCCTGTGTCACTGCCGAACTCGGCACACAGAAACCGAAGGCTAAAGTTGTCATACAATAGAATGCCTTGATTTATGCTAAGGCAGACGTTTTGAAAAAAAAAGGAAAATGAAAAACTGTGATTCTGGGAAGCACTCTCTTGTGGGTTCTTTAATGAGTGTACAGCAAGCTTGTGACCTTCTAAATCTGGACAGATTAAGCAATCATATGGTACAGAAAGACGGAGCACATGCGCTGGCTCATGTTTTTCTGTCATGTTTCAATACACATACGAAAAGAGCAAGGCACGGTGGCTGGTGTGCAGCTGCTTGTTGTTTTGTGGAGACAACTATTGCAAGAAAAGTAAGTAATTTTCGCTCGTAATTTAGTGGAAGTTCAACCAAATAAAATATTACGAAACCTAGGCTTGAGCTAAGCTAATCTCTGAGGTGAGATTTCTGCCGACACGTCTTTTCTGGATGTTCAAATAAATAAAGAAATTGAGAATGTAAATAATCCATGGAGGCTTACGAAAACTATTCATCTATGCTTTTCCGTCTTCTATATATTTTCATTTCTGCTTCTTTGTCTCTGCCCGTTTATAATGCGTTCTTCAAGGAATTATCGCTGCCTAATATATTCGTTTGCTTTCTTCGTTATTTCAAACAAGATGACGTCATCACTGATATCTCAAGTCACTCGCCCCGGTGGTAGGGCCGTTGCCGATGTTAAATTTTTTTAGGTTTGGTGAGGGAACTCAGATTTTTGCAATAATAA